GTGCCGTGATTTTTGTTTCAGTGACCACCTAGCTTGAAGGTAGCCTGATGGCAGTAGAGTTTCCTAGACCTCACTTGTACCTGGGTCCAGGTGATCTTCAAGAGAGTTAATATCCACCTGTAGCAATGGTTAACTTATTGCTTTGGAAGAATAGAAGGCTTTTTCTTTAAAGTATATAAAGAGAGATGCTGGAATATCTCTCTGTAGCCACCTGGTGCATGATACAGCAGAGGGCACATGTGCTGGACCAGCTTGGTTCCAGCAGAAGTCCTCCTTTAAGTGGAATGCTTCGCTGCTTGGTATTTCTTGCCATTTAGTAATTTTTCCTGTCTTTTTTTTCCTGCCAGTCTCACTTGCACTAGCAACACGTATGTGTGCCTAGGGGCTTCTGTGACCGCAGTGGTACTACCAGATGGGCAACCCCTAAAAATCTACTAAATGTAGTGCTCATAGGAGTAAGATATTTGACTTCCAGTAAGTAATCTAGTTTCTTGTTTTGCAAGGTTTACAAAGATGAAAAGACTGTAGTCATCAAGGATAAATATCCCAAAGCACGTTACCACTGGCTTATCTTACCATGGGACCCCATTTCAAGCCTGAAGTCAGTCACCAGGGACCATCTCGAACTTTTGGAACACATGGATGCAGTTGGGCAAAAAATGATCGCACAGTGCCCTGCCAGAGAGAGTCTGGAGTTCAGACTGGGTTACCACGCTGTCCCCAGTATGAGGTAAGACCTAGGCGAGTCAGGTGGAGACCCTGTTCCTCCAGTTACACAGATTTGGGGCTAAATCTGTAAGGTGGTCTTGCTAAAGGACAACTGATCTCCTAAACTCTAATTTGGTGTCTGAGTCCTTAGGTCCAGCTGTGCACATGCTGCCACGTACACACCGGTGGGCCACCTGGGGGTCTTGGGTCCTGCGGCATGTGGTCCAGTGCCAGAGACAGGCCAGGGCCTCCACCACACAGGGCACTGCTCTGGGATCAGGGAGTGACTCCTGAACCTATCAAGTCCTGCCTGATACCGAGCAAGGATTTGAGACTTGTGGGCAAAGAAGACCAGATCTTACAGGGTCCAGATGGCCGTTGGTCTTGCAGTTGATGGTCCTCAGTTCTCTAGTTCCTGGGTGAAGCTTTGAGTTGCTGATTAAGTCCCATTCAGGTACTCTACAAAATTTAAAACTTTGGTTTATTAAAATCACTGTCTCTGGCTTTTCGGAAGCTGTAGTTAGGGGCCAATGGAATGAGCAGACTGGTGACAAGGGGAAATAGCCTCAAGTTGCGTCAGGGTAAGTTTAGATTGGATATTTGGAGGAAGGAAGTTCTTTACTGAACGAGTGGTGAGGCACTGGAACAGGCTGCTCAGGGAGGTGGTGGAGTCACCAACCCTGGAAGTGTTTAAACAAAAAGTAGATCTAGCACTTGAGGCTGTGGTGTAGTGGTTAGGCATGTTGGGATGAAGGTTGGACTAGATGATCTTCAGAGGTCCCTTCCAACCCCTAACATTCTGTGATTCTGTGACCTTGACTGTGAAGGGCAACGCTGGGTGTGAGACAGCGCTGCCAGAACAGGCTGGAAGCAGGACTGTGTGTCCAACATGATAAGGCTGACCCATAAGATTGTCAGTCCAGCTCTGCTGAGTCATGTTTGCAGCTGATACTGCTGCAAAAGAACTTGGAGCGTTAACGTTATTCTTCTCTCTTATCTACATAATGTATTTGTTCCAGTCAGCTACATTTGCATGTAATCAGCCAGGATTTTGACTCTCCGGCCCTGAAAACCAAAAAGCACTGGAACTCTTTTACTACAGACTACTTCTTAAACTCTGAAGGTAATGGTGAGAAAAGGTATTTTGTAATATGTAGTCCTGCTTGTAGATTCTGGCTTCGGGCTTTTTTTGCAAATGTGTAAGCTTAAATTTTTGTTGTAATAAGTGAAAAGTTTTATGTAATTTAAGATATTTCAGCACTAAGTAAAAGTCAACCAGATATTGTGGCTGGCTTAAGTTAGAGTGCAGTGATGACATGCTGTGCACGCGAAGCAGTGCACAGATCCTGCAGTGTCATGTGTTTCATGATGCTACATGGTCCCAATACCTCTCGTCTCTTACTTCTTTTTTTCCAGATGTGATAGAGATGGTAAGAAACAAGGGAAGAGTGATGGTGAAAGATCATGTCTCTGAGCTTCTGAAATTGCCCCTTAGATGCCATCGTTGCAAACAACAGCTGTCCACTATCCCACAGTTAAAGGAACATCTCAAGAAACACTGGCCAAAATGACTTCGCAAAACATCACCTTCAGTTTTCAGGCTACAACAAAGCCCTCAAAATGTTAGTGGAGACGTGTGGGTTTTGTTAAGTGGAATGACAAACGTAATGTGGGGAAAAGTATCCTGGAAACGGCAGCATACCGGCTTGGTAATAGCTTAGATAAAAAATGCAACATAAAGTGGCTTCTGAAGTTGAAGGTGTGTTTGCGGCTTTGTTGTGGTGCTGCCACGCTGATCTGTATGTCAGCCAAAGTCTGGAAGAAGTGTTTTGTTTGAAGGAAAGGGTTTATTTTAATTCAGAGGCTGAGGTGCTTAGCCTCAATGTAGGTTTCTACTGAGAGGTCTTGATGTCTTCTGTCTGTCCCTGAAGTCTGCCTTAAGCGATAATGGTGCAGAGGCTGGTGTGGCTGACGGCAAAGCCGTCAGAGGAATGTCCTGAGGTGTATGGGCAGGAGCACCAGCTGCAGCATCCACACCTGGCTGCGCCACAGTGCAGCTTCAGCACTGCAGTGCTGCTGAGCTTCCCCTTAGCCTGGCAGCGGGCATCGCCCCTCACCAGGGTGCCTGGGCAGTCACTGCTCAGGCTCTAAGAGGGCATCCCTTTCATATACAAGGATGTATTTAGTCACCTATATATAAAAATACACGTAAAATAGGCAATGACCAGCTTTACAGCTCCTCAGAGTCATGAACCATCAAGGTTTGCTGTTGCTTGGCTGCATGTGTTGAGGTTGGTAAAGAAATTTTGGTTTAATGCTGCCCTGTTTCACCACACTGGGATTTCGATGAGTCTCTATCATTTGATTGTTGCCAAGATGTGAAATCCCAAATAGGCATCAGAGCAGTGGTAATAAAAACGTTTCTGGGTCCAGAACTGGTCTGTAGAGTTCAATTTCATTCTAAGCCCAGCTTTGACATAAGCAAGATGCCCTCTGGGTGAAGTGGCTTTCAGTGAGTGAACACACAAAGCTTTTGTTATACAAGGGAAATGCTGTTTGTAACTTTTGATAACATAATCTGTGGGGAGAGGTCTTCCTCCATGCCCGCATGCAGCAGCGTGTTATTGCACACTTCGATGGGGCTAACAGTGACCTCTTGCTGCTGGAAAAGAACGAAGACGTTCCTGTAGTGGAACAGGGGACAGAGTAAGGGTGAGGGATTGGCTGTTGCCTAATTTCAAGCACCAGACACACTTTGGTTTTTGGTGACGTTAGTAGTATTATACCTTAATTTAGAAATCAAAACTCGAAAAAAAAAAAAATGGGGGAGGGGAGCTTTGCTTGGCCCCAGAGGTGAAGTAGGGCTGGTGCTTAGCAGCAGGAACTATTCTGGACCAAAAGCAGTTGGAAATGCTGTGGTCTTCCTCACGTGGCAGACGCAGGCCAGAAAGTAAAGCTGTGCTGCTTCACAGCTGAAGGCAGCGTTTGTGTCACACAGCCCGTCACATCTGTGTGGGGGTCATGTGTTTTAGTACCTCAGAACAAGTCAAAGTAAAGCACAAACACCTGTGATTGACCTGTTTAGAAACGGGGCGCTGCTGCCTGCCTCCCAATTGCCACATGCTTGTACACAGAGCACTGGTTTCTGAAGGACAAGCTTACATGTGATGTCATAAGTCGGTGGCATCAGCAGAACTGCCGCCACCAGGGCTCCAGCCGTGCCTCTGCTGCTCGTGCTGGCCCCAGGCAGAGCGGTGGCAGGGCAGCGCTACCCAGCAGCATGTCCAGCTCTCGCTGGATGAGGTCACAGCGGGACAGGAGAGGTCTGCAAGAATGGCAGCAGCAGACGCAGGTGGTTGGAAGCCCGTAGAGGACAGCCACGTGTCCACGACCAGGGGTACCCTCAAGGAAACAGCAGTCACAGACATTGGGACAAGTTCCTTCAAGTGTGGCTTTGCGGGTGACCTGTGGCCATCCTGTGTTGTTCCATCTGCAGTTGGTAAGCCCACACGGGGGACTGGAAGGGATCAAAGAGAAACATTTGTTGGAAGAGAGCTTCAGAACAGCAGCGTACCCTTAACGCTGACCCACCCGGTACGCCGTGGTGTAGTGGTGGACTGGAACTGTGTCCAAGATGCTTTGGCGTATATTTTCCAGAGAGAGATGCAGATTCAGCCAGAGGACCACGCTGTTTTTGTGTCAGTGCCTCCCTTGTGTACCACTGCTTACAAGGAGAGATATGCTGAGACGATGTTTGAAGGACTTCACATACCTGCCATCCATACTGCCTACCAGTCCCAGCTGTCCATGTAGTCTTACGGGAAAACCTCAGCTGTGGTGGTGGAAAGTGGCCACGGTGCTTCACACGTGACTCCCATCTATGAAGGTTATCTTATACGCAGCATCACTGAGACAGTAGATTACGCTGGCTTGGACATCACGCATTACCTCATGAAGTTACTAAATGAGTCTGGAAACTCATTCACAGAACAGCAACTAAACATCCTGCAAGATCTCAAAGAGAAGTGTTGTTACACTTCTCTGGACCTTGCTCAGGACTTGAATTCGCCTCTTCAGGAACAAGTGGATTATGAGATGCCAGATGGACACCTCGTCCCTGTAGGCAAGGAGAGGTTCCTTTGCGCTGAAGTGCTCTTTGAACCAGCCTTGCTTGGCTCACAGCAGCTGGGGCTTTCGCAGCTGACACTCGCCTGTCTCAAGAAGTGTGATGCTGATGTCAACAAAAAAATGGTGGGGAACATCCTGCTCTGTGGGGGCAGCACTATGATGGAGGGCTTTGCTGACCACTTCCAGATGGAGCTGGCCAGGCTGTGCCCCAGTGACCACCTCATTGCAGCCGCATTCCCTCAGAGGAAGTCTTCTGCCTGGATTGGTGGGTCTGTTCTGGCCTCACTGCACGCTTTCCAGGAGCTTTGGGTTTACAGGAGTGAATATGAAGAATGTGGTCCTTCCTGCCTTTTCAATAAGTGCTTCTGAGGAACAAACTGGATGCATTAGAAAGACCAGTGTTGACAAAGGGTACCTGAGTCAACTCAAGAGCATCTTCCACCCCTTGCTGTAATTAAATGTCTGCTGGAGCTGTACTATTTTTGTGATATTGTGTGCCTACAATTGTTTGGGTTTTTTCCCTTTCATATTTAATGATGCTAGACAGCAGAGAGGCGACAAACTTCTGCTCCAACAAAAATCAGGTTTCCGTGCAGCCATGTTTTCTCAGAAAATAGGACACTTCTTAAGCTAACTCTGTATTTCTGCATTAATGGATTCTTCAATTCCTGGTAGCTGCATCTATTTGTAAAAGCCTCTACAGAACCCAGAAGAGCAAATTCAACATGTCCCTAAAGACAGCAGCTAAGGCAGAAAATATTTCAACATGATATGCATCCCTAGAAAAGCAGAAGAGCATCCTAGTAGAAATCAAGGGTTAGTACACTGCTGGCTGCTGGTGGGGAGGAGACGAAGTTCAACAACTGCAGAAGCAGGAGGCAGGACATCCCCCTGGAGGGAGAGGGGTATCAGAACACAGTTGGAGTTCACAGATAAATTACCATATGAATGATTTAGAAGACTGGTCTTCCATCTGGGATGGCAGATTTAAAGTGTTTTTTCCTTGATGGGAGAACAGGAGAACATGTCTAAAACCAGAGGTTCTTCAGCTTTGACTATTACAATGATGGAAAGGCAGAACCAAGCAACCTCATCTGCGGTGAGCAGGGACATACTAGTTCCCTTCCAACTCAGGGCTCATTCTGATGTGACAAAGCAATTCTGATTAAAATGTGGTATTACCAACACCCAGCTTCAACAGAGAAAACACAAGTCATCTGTTTAGCAACCACAATTTGCTACCAGCACAGACTTACTCGTGAGGTCTCCAAACTAGGCTGAACAGCTTGAACTGTGACCCATCATCACGGCAGGTAACATCCGTGAGAGGGAGTGATGGCAGAGAAAATAGCCCGTCCAAGAGTGGTGGCATTGATTCATCCAGAAGGGCGGGAAGAGTGCTGGCAGACATGGGATTCAACCAGCAGCATTCAGAGCTGCACACCGCGCTACTCCTCAAGCTCACAAACCACCTCTGCAGGGGACACGAGTGGCTGTTCCCATTAGCCTGATGCCACAGAGGTCACAGCAGCATCAGATGGAGGGACCCTTCACTTGCACAGTGTAGCAGAAATGACAGGACAACAATGTTTTCTGTAAAGATGTAATGAAATTATATGGAAAGGTACAGCTCAGCGTCCACTAGGCTTCCTCAGCTTTTAGTTACTGGAGAAGATGCAGTTTCCACTGTAGGTTTTTATTGAATTTTGGGGGTATAAGTAATTCTGGATCTAAAAGACAAACAGGACAAATGTCAGAACAGAGGGTAACAGCAACATGGTTACTTCAGGTCATGTCAGGTATTTAGTTTACTTTTCTTTACATCAAAGGACACTGAGAAGTCTCTAACACTTAGCATTTTCCTTCAGTGACTGGCCACCAGCCTGCACAGAGGAGCACCCCTGCAGAACTGCTTACAAATCCATCCCCTCTCCATTAGGTGTTACCATTCAGAACGAGGAGGCAACAGTCAATGGCAGTTAGGAACAACTCTGTCCATTCACCAACAACGGGAACATCACACACGACAGCCAGCTCTGGCTCTGTTTAGTGTAAGCAACAGGCACAAGGTTTTATCTGGAGCCAGCCCTGGCAAGAGGCAATAGGCATGCTGCATCTAGAGGTTTATTAAAGGATTTCTCCAGGTGATTCCAGGACTAGCAGGGGAGAAGGAAGACAGAGGTGAGGTGGGACCAACCCTTGCTAGGTTTCTCAGCCTTAGGTCTGTATTAGCTGCAGGGACTTCAAGATGGCAAAGCACCATGAGAGGCTGCAGCCTGGCCTGGCTGCCAAAGCCAGACAGAAAAATAGAGCGTGCAGGTGCCAGCAGAATTATCTACCACATTCCCTAAGGAAACAGGTTTCCAATTCCCTCACCACACACACTACACACACAGGAAGCCAGGAGCACAACTCAGACAGTAGTTTTAGCACAGGACTTCAGAGCAAATAAAACCTTATTAAGAAGGCTGCTCACTTGCCAGAAGGCAGGAGGGTACACAATAAAGAGAACCTACAACTGAATAAAGGCTACAACTGTTGGCAGGTAGCAACGCTTGGAAAGCCTCAAAGCCCACTGACCTCACTGACATTTCACATGCACACCGAAACCAGAGCCTTGACTAACCTTGTACAACAGGAGTCATCATCCTCTTCTGCTGATAGGCAGCCATAATGCTGTTTGCAGTTGAATTCGGCCCCAGGACCTGTATGAAGAAGCAAAACCCATGTTCCAATCCACCCAAAGCAAGGCTAAGAACAGGCATACCAAGAAAGAAAACTCTGCTGTTAAGCCTCCAAAAGCAGAGGCAGCTGCCTATACGAGACCTCACAGCACAAAGTGACCAGGAATATGTGATTAAAGCCCAGTTATGCCTCAGAAAAGTTAACACAGAGACCTCATCACACGCAACGTGGCATTCAGTGCAAGGGACGCAGCAGGCTATACTGGTTGCACACATCTAAAGTTTACCAACTCGGCAGGGATTGCACAGGGTATCTATTTGGTGTCTACAAGGGAAAAAGAAACAAAAACAACCAGATCTGGAAAGCCAGGGAGGGATTCCAGGGTCTTTGCTGGAGATATTGCAGAACACTGCTGAATACTTGGTATTATATAGCGGGTGTGATGGGCATTGCTGATGAGCACAGACCGGATTTACAGAGCTCTGTTGTAGGTCTGGAGTCCAGATTTCCGGGATCGAGGTCTCCATCAACTGCAAAACGTCTTCCAGCGCTTGCTGCAGTGCCCCAGCCTGCTCATCACAACCAAACAGCACCAACTGCTTCAGAAGGATGTGTACGTCTCCTGCAGGATGGAACAGAAGCACAAGCAAAAGCAATTAACACCAGTATGCTAAATAAACCACTGTATTTCTCTGGTATCAGGGTACAGGGAAGGGGAGCAGCAAATCAGAACTGGTTCTGTCCCTTCTCAGCCACTGCAGTGCCCGACTACAAATGTGAGACAATTCTGTCACAGCTCTGAGAAGGCGTCAGTTCTCTGCTCCCAAACTTCAAGTGTGGAGAATTCATGTTCTTCCAGGCACAGAGGCAGATGAACTAAATCAAGGTCAAATCCAGGTGGGTCTTATGGACCAGGCAGCTTCTCTCACCAGCATACCCATTAAGAACAAGAGGGGGCACGGAGTGGATTGAGATCCTCAAGTGTCCTACCCTTCACAGCCTCAACAACACGAACATTTCCTCCCAGGACTTCCAGAAGGGCCAGATCTTCAAAAGGACTCCCCTCCTTCAAGCTGTATCTCTTGCGCTCAGCCTTGCGCCGGTTCTTTGAGGATCGCCTGAAAAGGAGGGTGCTTAAAAACTGCAGCTGTAACAAGGTCAGCCAGAAGGAACAGCAACGCATGGAACTTGTTACCCGACTCCTTACTCTCTCCACTGAGCTTATGTATGTCAAGGTTTTCAATGCTACTCGATAGCCTTTGCAATATGAAACACAGTCAGTAGCTGGGCTGCTTCTCTACTACAAAAAGCGTGTCCCTGTGTTCCAGTGAGGTTAAAGCATTGCTTTAAGCACAAAGCAGAGTAAGGTGTTTGGCAGTAGCCACTATTCAGCAAACCTGAGCTCCAGTTAAAAGAATTTGGTGCCAAGGTCTGTGCTTGCCTGTGCACATTTTCATGTCTGCTATCACCACAAGTTCTGCAGTAACAGGGCTCTGCTCCTGCCCATTATCACAGGAAAGCAACTTCTAATCATAGGCCAGTACTAGTTGCAAAATATCTTGAAATGATCAGCACACTGACATGGGTATGCCGAATACTGAGGTTGCATTCTGTTCCTCTTTTCATCTGGGCCACAGAAAGAGCCTTAAAAAATTCACACGTCTCCCACAACTGTATTTTTCCACACTTCAGCTGGGGAATTCCAAAGCAGTCCCGCAGACTACAACGGCCTCTAACACATCTCATCCCACACTGCAGCCCGCACTCAGAAGTACCACAGACACCCACTGAGGGAACACATCAGTACAGGATTTAGTAGCAACTCCCACCCAGCAAGTGCAAAACCCAGGACAAAGAGCAGAAGCTGCTACTGCTGGAGGTGCTCTGCCTGTATTCTGTGCCAGGCTTCCTACCGCCAGCTCTTCTGGCAACCTGCCCGACATCTACAGAGACAGCTCTTGCCCAAAGTCTGTGTTCACAGCTCCTCTTCTGGGCGCTCAGCTCCTGCTGCACTAGCAGCTTCTGGCATTTTCTGCTTTCTCTTTCCCAGTAAGATAACCAAAATAACCAGGAAATGCCTGTCATTAAAGCAGCCTCAAGGCATGCGCAGCTTCAAAGATGTGTACACTGAACATGAGCAAGCTGCCCTCCCAAATGCTGATGCCACGGAGCCACTACCTAATTTGAAGGCAGATACCTACGCCGATATTCTTGAATTGCTGTGCGAATATTTGCTGTTCATGTCGCTGGCTGTCACAACACTGCTGGTTTCAGAGAAAAGATCCAACTCTGGGCCATTTGGCATTTCATAATCTGCAAAACATGTTAACTGTCACAGTATGGAAAAAAGGTCACAGTTATTCCGAAGGTTTCTCTCTGGGTAATCCGTGTTGCTTCCCAGAGAAGCAGCCTGGGCAGATTCATTCTTCCTGCTGGTGCTTTAGAGCCTTTACGACTCAGCCCCAATTAGCCAGCAGAGAGGAAAAAACAACTACTGTGAGAACATCACTGCCCTACCCGGCTGGGGATTGCTATGATATTAAACAGCACAGTCAGAGAGATGACGATTTCAGTGCAGCAAATCTGGATCACGACAAAGCATTCTGCTTTCAGAAAACTTCCCCAGGCCTGTGTGAGCTGGCAGGTGAATATGCCTGATAGGTACTGAGCACAGAGGACGTGCT